GGGAGTTGAAGTCCACTCATCTTAAAGTGGCCAAGTTTGGACAACACTGCTTTACACAGTCCTCTTTCATTCACTAATCCACCCTTTCTTTCAACCTTTCCCCACTTGCACCACACCGTGGTCCAAAACTAACCTGTCAGCCATTTCTTCTATGTCATTATGTTTTTTTTCCCCTTAATTGTATGTCACTTCCATTAAAAGAAATCTCAAAGCTTTTGGTGCCATCACATTCCCAGGGTAGGAGTGAGAGAGATTTAAATCATCCTTAGCTGTACCAGTGTTCAAGGAGCATGTTCTCCATGATTTTGACACCATCCTGACACCATAGGAGCAGATGACTACAGTGACTAGGAACAGAGTCACTAAGCAGTAAAGGATAGGGATCAGCAGTGGGAATAGCCAAATTCATACCAGTACAGATTTCTGGATAGAGAGCACTTCAACTCATCAGCAAGGAAAGCCCCCCTTCCATTCTGCCTCTACCTCTTCTATGTACCTGCCACCTATTCAAATATCTCCAAAGCAATGTATGTAAAATCAATAAAATTTTAAAGCATTCTACATATACAACAGCATTATAACGATCATGCATGATCTAAAGCAGTGTTTCTCAACCTTGGCAGCTTCCCCATGCTGTCTGGGGAATTCTGGGAGTTGAAGTCCACACATCTTCAAGCTGCCAAGGTTGAGAAATGCTGATCTAAAGGCTTTCTCATGATCAAAGTTTGAGAGATGATAGTCTAGCATTTTGTGGTGGTAAAAGGTATGCCCCCCACCCCCTAATATATGTGAACTGCTTAAAGCATTTTACAAACTTTTCTCATTTTTTAAGAAAGCATCTACAGCATGATGAATGGACCCTGAGTGGCGACAGGGGGATGAATCAGTCAGGAACCAGTGGCCCAGTAAACCAAATGGTTTTTATTCACTGACCATATTCTATTCACTGACCATCTCTCAAAGCATGGTAACCTAGTAGGAAGGGATAAATAATGAGAAGGCCATCCAGATGGGTTTATCAGAAGCATTCCGATGTCATGCTGATACACTGTGTCTGCCTTTTCCTATGTCTTGTCTTTGAAATGTAGGAAGCCAGAGATATGAGAACTGTGGTTCTGTTTTGCTCAGGGTGGCTCCGCAAACCAATGCTTTGTTGAGAGTTTGATGTACACTGTAGTTCTTTGCATGCTTCATAAATGTATGTTGTATCTTCAAAGTTATTTGGTGGTTTTAAGTGAGCCACGTTTTGACCACAGCCATTTCAAGAGAGAGCCTCACATTTAAGGCCCACCTGTCCACTATCAGGAGAGGAAAAAGAAAGCAATTCTTTACTGAATGGAACAATCTTGAGGAATTTGTCGTGGTGCTAGCTACTGTTTTAGGTGGCTTTTTAAAAAGTTTTTAAAAAGTCAACAGGTCAAGTTGATCAGTAGTTTCCAGCTGTGGCATTTATATAGAACAACCTTATCCAGAGGGTGCATTTCTCTGAAACATCAAGCTACGGTAGAAAAAAGAGAAAGTTGCTTTTTAGATGCCCTACTTGTATGCTTCTTATAATTGGAAACAGAATATTGAACTAGACAGACAAGATTGGGGTAACTTCTCAAAAACAAAAGAAGCCAGTGTATTTCTCCATTTTTCTCTCTAAATACATTTTCAACTTGTTTTCTTATTTCTCTGAACTTGTGTCATCCTCAGTCCTAGCTCAGACTGGATCCTAATGAAAATCCCACATCTAGGACAGTTTTCTCCAACTTGATACCCTCCAGGTATGTAGGGACTACAACTTCCAGAATACCCACCCTTGGATTACAGTGATAGAGAATTCTGGGTGTTGCAGTCCCAACAAGTGCCTAGATGGATAAGGCTGCTGAAGGCTTTGCCCAAGAGATTTACCTTGATGGTCCCCCAGAAGCCTCTCTGCAGATGTATCTGATGGGCATTCACTTGAACAAACACTTCCGATGTCACGGGCAATGGCTGGTTGGTTAGCTTCTCATTCTTCACCTCAACCCTAAAGAAGGGCAAGCCTGCAGCGCTTCCACACAGTTCTGCAAAGACATATTTGCAGGTCCCCTGAAATTCATAACGCTGCCCATCAAATGTGGTGTAGTGGAGGTACCCTGACACCTGACAGAGACCATTTGAGAGCTTGTGACAGCCATGAATGCCTTTCTGGGTGCCACAGAACTCTCCAGGACCACAGGAGGAGTTGACACACTCCACAGCATGGCTGGTGCTGTTACAGCTGCAGAAGTTCCAGCAATCCTGTCCCTGCCAGAAATGTTCCTCAGCCAGGTAATATCTTCCATCATAAGTGCAGCCACATTGCTCTTGGGCCACACACTCCGTGCCACTCTGTACAAACCCAGGGTTGCAATGACACCCTTCAACACAACCAGTCTGGCAGCTGGAAGGCATGGCTAAGGAGGCACAAGAAGAAGAGCAGGAAGGTCCACAGAGATCATAAGAGCTATTCTCAGGACACAACAACTCTGGGGAGAAAAAAAATGCACACGTATCAAAAATTGAGAATGCAGAAGCACAAATCCTGTCTTATTATTTAACCTAAGGGAAGAGGTAGGTGTCCTGAGAAGCAATATTTTTAAAAAATCAGACATCTTAATGCCTCGTATTATTAAAACACTGAGCGTGTAAATCAGTGACAGCTTACCACACCCAGTCATCTCCCTCCAGGGCTGAATGGCAATTCCATGGCTTTGGCACTGCTGACTAGGTTGAGAGAACCCTCCAGTAGAAACTCTGCTGCAGCCTAGATATTCAGGCACAACCCCAATCATATAATTCTGAGATGGTAAACAGCAAAAGGTGTGATCACACTCAGTCTGCATGGCAAGGACAGGCCTCCAGATAGTGGTGGCATTTGGATGTATCTGCCATCTATACAAATGTCCCACAATGCTCCAGAGCAATGCAGTGGCAGGGGTATCATGGGAAAATTTAAATGGCAGAAAGGCCCATTTGGAGAAGCAGAATGAGATTTTTTTTTTAAGACTAGAAAAGCCCAGAGTATGTGGTAGCAGATGGGTCTGGCGATCCTTATCAGCTGTCCAAAAATGTCAGATTCTGACACTGAACATCTTTATTCAGTTTTAACCTTCCCAATTCATCTAAGGGGATATTTGTAAGTATCAGTGAGACAGAGTATGAGAAGAAGTAATTTTCGCCAACTGGATTCTCTCTGATTATTTTGGGGATGCAGTTATCGAGAGCTGCAGTCCCACACTTCTGGAAGGTGACCAGGTAAGGAAGGCTGTTCTGAAGATGCCTCGTATTATTAAAACACTGAGCGTGTAAATCAGTGACAGCTTACCACACCCAGTCATCTCCCTCCAGGGCTGAATGGCAATTCCATGGCTTTGGCACTGCTGAGCGTATGTTCCCAGGGTTTTGCATAAGCTGCTTCCAGAGGTGACACACATGTCCTTCACACAGTTCTCAAAGTGCACTTGAGCAACAGCAGGGTCACTGCAAAGTTGAAACGGCCCATTTGGATCACGGATGATGCCGCAGGAATGCAAAGACCGGTATTGAGATTCGTCACAGGAGGGTGGAAGCCCAGTGACTGTACAGTGGAAAGGTGAGCTGGCTTCTTTCCAGCTGTTGCTGAAAGCGATGGGATCGGGAACAAGACTGCCATTGGGGTTTCGGAAATCGTCACTCTGATTTCCATTGAAGTCTCCGCTGAGGCCACAAAGGAACCCAGAATAGGTCTTGGGAACAGACACTGACACAGAATATGACCAGTCATAAGAGATGGAGAGACCAAAATCAGTCTGAACGTGGATGGAAAAGCCACTGTAGTAAGCATAGAGCTTTTCTGCTGGAAGAACAAACGGCAGATTGACCAGAAGGCCATTCACCTGAGATAGAAAGGAAGAGAAGTCAAGGTAGCGCTGTTTATCATTCACAATAAATCAGAATAACTTTTCCAATATGACACCCTTTTAGATGGATTGGATTGAGAATTTCATAATCCCCAGAGGGGGGATTCAAAAATTGCCACATCATTGTAATTATGGTGGGACAAGCCAAAAATCATCAAACAGATGATGAGGAATACATAAACTGTATTTCATGACTTTAAATTAAATTTAAATGAAGACAAATATAGGTTTTTGTTCTGGCCCTCCCAACCTCTGGCATGTGGCCTGTATATGATGCAAGGTTGGGTAGGTTGTTTTTGCTGTTCCAGCTTCTACAGCTATTCTTGGAATTGGAAAAAAAGCTATTTTGGGAATGAACAGACAATTTTTATAACTTCAATAAATATTTACTGATGTGGTTTCGCTCTATGACGGTTCAGAGTTTTGTCAAGGAGACTTTGATGGTACATTTGTGGTGAAACCACAGAGAGTGAGAAGAAGGGATGGAATAATAACCACAGCAAAAATCTCAGGAAGGGAATTATGTTCTGCAGGCACTGGTCAGAACAATAAGCACGTTTGTTTTATGTGGTGAACATTCTTCAATTATTGTGATGCTAAATTAGCCATCAGTGATTATGTCTAAGGATATGCTACCTTTCGATCTGAAACCAAAAAAGTGATTCACAACACAGGTGGGTTTGCATACCATACCTGTTGGTGCCTTCCTAAAGAAGCCATGTCTTTTTCTAGGCTCAAATAGTAGCCACACACTCCACAAAAATACACATTTGCATTAAGGAGATACCAGCAGCACAGCCACAACCACTCCAAACCACCTTTTCATTTTGGGATCCAAAGCAGAGCACTGCTGTGAGAACTTCCAAATCTTCACCTTGAAGTATGAATGTTTCATTTATAGGGAGAAAATGAATTTTTATTTTCCCACCCTGATATATTATAATGCTATGTAGTAAGGTAGTGGGAGGACAGCCATGTTAGTCTATGGCAGTGTTGTCCAAACTTGGCCACTTTAAGATGAATGGACTTCAACTCCCAGAATTCCCCAGCCAGCCACGGTATCCAAAAATCAAAAGTCTCACAGCATCTTTTCAGACTAATCAATTTTATTAAAAAGCATAAGTTTTTGTGAACTGCAGCTCACTTCATCAGAAGCAATGGAGGTACATTACACCTTCACAACTATGCCACACCGGCTCTCACCTTAGTGAGCACTAGAAGGACGCATATGAATATTTAAAAACTTAGACGCAACCAAACTAAAGAACATAAGGAACCACCGTATGTACAGGTAGTCCTCGCTTAATGATGGTAATTGGGACCAGAATTTCTGTTGCTAAGAGAAGCAGTTGTAAAGTGTGACTTCACATGACTGTGCTGCTTAGGAACAGCAGTTCCAGCAGCCCCTGGTTACTGTCATTAAATGAATTATAAGGGTTAAGTGAGGACCTCATGTGAGCGTGACTTCTGACTTCCTGCCAGCTTCCTCACTGACTTAGCTTGTGAGAAGCTGGCAGGCAAGGTTGCAAATCGCAATCACATGACTGTGGGACACTGCAATGGTCAGAAATCCAGGTCCATTGCCGAGCATCTGAATTGTGATCCCATGACCATGGGGGCATTGTGACGGCTGGAACTTTGAGGACTGGTTGTAAGTACCACTTGTTCAGTGCCATTGCAAGTTCAAACGGTCGCTGAACAAGTGGTGGTTAAACGAGGACCACCTGCATTGTTCTTACCTGTATTTTGCCATACTGATCTGCCATCATAACAATCTGCTGCCCATAGACCTCTACCTCCACCCGGTAGATCCACGATGCTGCCAAAGAGCCTCGATGTTCATTCTTCACTTTGACAGTAAAGCTTGGTAGCTTGCCCCGAAGGCCACAGGACTTGCTCAAAGTGTATGTACAGGTCCCTTCATAATCAAATGCCGCTCCGTCAAAGGTGACATAATGGGGATCTCCAAATACCCAGGAACTGCCAACTTCCTGAGCAGAGCATCCCCAGATACCATCCACAACTCTGCAGGTTTCCTGAGCCTTGCATGTATGCTCTTGGCACTCCATGGGGTGAGAAGGATGCCTACAGGAGCATTTCTTGCTGCAGGAATCTGTCAGGATCACCTTATTGCCCACTTCATAATACCGGTTGTTCAATATGCAGCCGCAGCGGCTCAAGGGCACACATGCTCCTCCACTGAGAATGTAGCCTTTGTTACAAGGGCAGCCCTCTCTGCAGGGCTCCGAGCAGAAAAGTGGGGCAGTGGAATCCAGACAGCTAGCTGGGCAAGCCGTAGAGCAGGCTTCATAATGGCTGTTCTCTGGACAAGTGATTTCTGATAGAGGAAGGAGGAGGAGAAAAATCAGTGCCAGGCCATGACCTTTTATTCTATCAAACCAAGTCCAAATACCTCCACTATTCAAATGTGAATCATTAACTATCTCTTGCTCTTCCATTCAGACACACATTCCACCTCAGCCTTCTCCAACTATCACCATCAGTGGCAACAACCAGCAGGATGGGGAATTCTAGAAGCTGAAGCCCATCACTTCTGGAGAACACAAAGTTGGAAAAGAGGGATTGATCTCATGTCATTCCCTCCAATGATCCTTTCTGCAGAGGTAGATGGGAGGGGCTGAAAGAACATGTTGCAATAAGAACATGCAGTAATTGATGGTTCACATGCATAAGAACGTATTGTTTTTCCCAGCCATGGAAAATCTACCAATCTCTTTCTTTAATGCGTCTCACATTAAAGCTATCAGGATAGTACCAATCACCAGCTTCATTACCAAGTAGAATAGAAGATCATCCATCGGAACAGAGCAAATTATGCTGGCATATTTTTCTGCCATCTCATGGGCTGGAATAAAGCATGTCCCATCAGTTGTCTGGGTGTGCCCTAAATCATGTTAATTATATTTCTAGGAGACCAGAGTGTATAAACTGTATCTCTCCATAATGATTAGTCACTGCTCTGTGACATTTATTATGATTCCCTCCAGGGATTGAGAGGTTGTTGATTAACGTATATTAGTTTAGTTTTACTCACCACATTGTGTCTCCCCTCTCCACTGCCCAACTGTGATGTTGGCTGCCTGACAACGTTCAGCGTAAATATGGAGGAGATTGCACAGCACAGTCCGGTTGCCTCCAGATGTGCAAACATCATCAAGACACACTTCCATAAAGCTAGAGACGGGCAAGATTTGTGCACAGCTAGCAAAAGGACCTGGGGATTTTTCTAAAATGCCACAGTATTCTGAACTGGAGTAATTGGCCAATTTAGTCAAGGGGCAAGTTGATGGCTGTTGGATGTCCCCACAGTGGTCCTCAACATTTTTGGCCTGCCAGCTTCTAGCAAACAGAGCCACTGACGCCACAATGGATCCATTGGGAGTTGAGAAGTCATCGGATGGATTTTCATTCAAAGTTCCACAGAGACCACAAGTAGCGTTTTGATATCTGGCAGAAACACCAATCTCCACATGTTGGTTCCCAGTGTAAGAAACGGACACTCCAAAGTCAGTATCTATCTTCACAGAGAAGCCACTCTTACGCACTCGGATCTTGCCACCAAGTAGGATCACAGGAAGAAGGGTTTTTATCCCACCAATCTAATAAGGGGTTCCATGCAATAAAGTGGAATCAAAGTTACTGCTTTTTTCTTAGCTAGATTGGATTTATCTATCTATGTGGTCACTAGAGTCAAAAAAACTTGATGGCAAATAATCAATCAGGTTGGATTTAAGGAAAGGCTGCTGGCATTTAATGCTACCTAAGACCCAGATCTGTGCTCAGGAAACAATCTAAACTACTATGTCCAAATATATTGGTAGGTGGGCAGAAGCATAACTAACTGAATAGAGCGAGGGCTTTATAAGCTAAAGATCTCCACCTGAAACCCCAGTAACTCTCTTTAAAAAGGAGCAAGACATGACAAAAAGAAAAACTTCCTTGGAAAGAAATTCTGAAATGTGCCTGCCAAACAGAGGAAATGGGTAGAGGAAGGATTATATTAGCATAGTGACTGCACACATCTTTTGCACGAAAAAGGTCTGAAATTTAAACCTTGGCATCTCAATAGAAAAAGAATAGATAATTTTTTAAAAGCTTCCAGACTGAGATTTTGAGAATACCCGCCATTCAGAAAGACAACACTAGACTAGTTAGGGGAATAGTTTGGCCTGGTTTAAGGCAGTTTCTTAGGAGATTGGAGAATTAGAAAGCCTTACCTGCCATTTGGTTTAGATTTGGATCTGAAGGGGAAAAGATGCTTTGGAGCAGGCAGGTGTGCTCACATATCACCTGGCAGCAACTCTGCAACTCTTTAAAGTAGCTGTGTCTTCTCCTGGGATCACATGGCTGCCCTCCCTAGCTGCTGTGCAATCCCAGAAAAATACACATTGGGGTTAAGGAATTGCTGACAGGTGCTCCCACTTGCTCTGAAGCCTTTTTTTCACTGAAAGTCCAAAGTGCTGAACAGCCCTTATTACTATACAATAACCTAGGAGGTGGGTTGAAAATTAAAACAGGCACTTTGTAGAGTCTGAAAGTTAGAAGGTCCGCTTAGGCCCTTGAGTTCAAGCCCTGCTAAGGAATTAAATTAAATTAAATTAAATTAAATTAAATTAAATTAAATTAAATTAAATTAAATCATCCCTAAACATTGGTTCCCCTTGAAGGACAGATCAGTGAAGAAGAGTGAGTAAAGAAAGAAAAAAATCATAAGAAATGGCAGAAGAAGGCCAGAGAAGGTGGGGCAGAATTAAACCATGAGCTGAATTAGAGACACTAAATCAGATGACTTACCATGACATGCCCAGTAGAATTGGTCATTAAAACAATGTCCTGCCCATAGACTACCATGTGCAAATATTCTATGTGTGGTGCATCTGGGGCTGTTCCTTGCACCTTGCCTTCCAGCTGGTAGTACTTCAGGCTTTGGTTGTGCAAGGGTGCACATACCTGAGACAACACATAAGTGCAATCACCTCGAAAATGGTACAGTTGACCATCAAAGGTGGTGTAATGCTGTCCACCTAAGACTTGGCATGATGCACTGTAAATAGGCTGGCACACATGGTACCAGGAAGCCAGCTGGCAGACCTCATCTGCAGAGCAGCCGTTGGCCTGGCATATCACTGTGTGAGTGTCAAGCATGCACTGGCACTTCTTCTCACAGGTTGATTCACTCCAGAAGATGGCATTAAGAGGCAAGAAGTTAGCTGTGAAGACAAAGGACACATCACAAACACCTGGAAAGCCCAGGAGATTCATGCTACTGACTGTTTGTTATTTGCATTGAACTAATTAACAAAAGAAAACATAAATACATAAACCAAAGTAACAAAATAATGCCACCCCACCTACACCTACACACCCATCATGGGAAAAAATTGCATATACTTGTGATAGGAAGGCCTGGACATTTATCTCATGAAAAAAATAATTCCAAAAGTTGGACTAGAAATAGAAATCCAGTAATCTTGAGCGCCCATCTTTAAACCTGAGTGTAGTATGGTTCTGCTCACTAACCATTCATTGAACCAACTACTGAGACATACTAAACACCATGATTGATAGGGTCTTAGAAGTTTTTCCCATCGTCTACTACTTCATCTTTCTTTTTATTGAAAGTCCAGAATTAGTCAGAAACCTCTATGTTCTTGTGGTGAGAAAAAAAGTCACCTAAGAATATGCCAACAACTGGAAAGGATCCAGTGATTGTTTTATTAAAACTAGCAAGTTAGAGTCTGCCAGAGACTGGTCAATAAGAGCTCTTATGTAGAGTTATAGAGATTAAAGATGACAGTTTGACTTTGCATCACAATTTGAACTGGGAGAGCTGTAAATTCACTCCTTCTCAAGCATACTGATAATGTGTTTACAGCTCTCCCAGTTGTAGTTTAGGAAGATATGTGGTTCATAAAGCAAAAGCCATGTCTTAATATAATAAAGGTTACAACTCTTAGAGGATCTATATCATGAGGAAGTAGTCATGGCATGTATACAGAGAAGGTTAAGGCTATTGTGGCTACATTGACCTTTACACTAAACTGGCATGCAAAAGCAGAGATATTCAGGGACCATCAATAGCCTATGTTTGAAATGTAGAAGGCACACAGAACATAAATATTCCCTCCACCTTCTTTACCATGAAGCTCCAGTGCTTCCCCAATGTTAATTTTATTTGTATTCATGTTGATAAGCCACTTTTATGCCTAAAGGCTTGCCAAACATCTTACTAAATGAAAAAAAGATAAACAGCTGAATATTCTACACCTTGTCCTTGGGATAAATTAAACACATTCATGGACACATTGACTAGCCATCATAAATTCATGGAAAGTCTATGCTCAGAAACTTGGAGCAAAAACCAACACCTTGGAGCAAAAAAAAGGACATTGCTATTGACATCTGGCTAAGCTTATGAGACAAATATGGCTGTCCATCCCTGGAATAGAAGGGCTTTTAGCTGAATCCTTTATGGCTTTTTTCTCATGATCTCACTGGGTAGCGTTAAATGTACCTTTGTAAACACAGCCATTGGGGACTGCAAAAACATCCACCTCAAATACCCAGCGCCCAGGATCCATGACATTGCTTGTTGAGCTGATGTTAATCATGCTTGGAGTCCAAGAACCAGGAATATTGAAATAATTGTCAGCATCACCATTATTAAATCCAGCCTGTAAGTAAGAAAGGGGGAAAAGCATTACCAAAAGATAATTGGAAGGTTGTTAAGACCAAGGGGGTGTCTGTTGGACTATGGGACCTTGGCCTTCAGTCCCCAAGATCCAACCTTGTCCATGCCACTGGCCATAAAGTAAACATGAAGATAAACTGGGTGAATGGGGATAAGGTAAATTCTCTTATAAGTCATACTTGCCTTCAGAGATTATATGTATTTCCCTTGAGAGTAATATGCAATGACTTCCTATTGCCTTCTTCCCAGAATGTTTTTTGGCTCCCTAGTCTAGTCCAGAGCCCCAAGATTTCCTGGTGATATCTTATCCAAATAACCAGATATAACCTCACCTGGTTTTTTTTTTAGATCAAAGTCAGCTAGGTACTGCCACCTAGTTGGACACAACTTCTCCAACCTGGGTATTCACCACTCTAGGACTTCAGTTCCTAGAATTATCAGCAAAGGCCTTGTTGGGTGGGAAATCCTGTGAGTGTTCAGGCTGGGAAAGACTGCTGTAACATGTACCTTTAGGAGACACTTACCTGGGCAGGTGTGCCCTCTAAGCCAGTGTGGGCATCTCCACCACTTGCTTGCCCTGATATCCACTGGATATCCTGGTAATTCAGCATCACAAAAGACACTTTGCCATCAGAAGTTAAAACAGCCTGGAATGTGTTTACCTGTAGAGAATTGATGTTTCAATAGGTGATGTTTCATTCATTTCCCTGCTTATGGAGCACCGGAACATGTTAAATTTTGTTACACTTTAATATTATATTTTAGCATTATAAAGGGGAGGAGCCCTACCCAAACAACCATGCCCATTTCTTTCATGTGGTAATTACAACTAAACTCCCCTCCCCGCAAGACATCCAGTAGCAACTACAAAAACTTTGTGTACATCATCACATCACTGTACCAATGATATGAATTATGAAATTTGCTTAAGTCATCCCACATTATTATGATGCAATTAATGTATATAATTTGTGCATTTGTGCACTGAATGACATCATGATGTGTATAATATCACTTCTTTCTGTGGCCCCTCAACAAAGTCACCTACGTCCCCTTCTGAAGTTTCTAATTGCATCAGGAGGAGGGAGGCACTGGGATCATGTTAGGAAAGAACCAGTTCCTAACTTCACAATGTTTAAGAAGTCCCACCATGTCCTCTTTTTGTCACTTAGGAGAAAGACATACTTCCTATGGTTTCTGGCACATAATAATGGATTCTACAAGACATGCAGGCTGACCCTGAACAACAGCAAGAACAGAGTCCAGCTTTTGCATGTCATTTCTTTTTAGACTGGAAGGAGCTGAAGCAAAAAGAAACCAGTTCTCTGTCTATGGTTTCCTTGATTTTGTTGGCAGGCAGAAGTTATTAAAACTGCAGTGGACTCTGGTCACAACGTCCTGAGAACTGTAAGTGCTCAATGAGAACTGTAAGTGCTTAATGAGAACTTTGAAGTGCTTAGTGAAACACTGAATCAAAGTTTGTAATACTCTTCACAGGTCAGTTTCTTAAACTTAAGACATTGGTCAGCACTTAGCTTACTAATGGAGAAAAAAATTCTCCAGTCTCACCAGCATGGCTGGCTGGGGAATTCTGGGAGTTGAAGTCCACTCATCTTAAAGTGGCCAAGTTTGGACAACACTGAGCTAAGGACAGACTTTCACAACCTTCTCTCTTGCCATCTCATCACATTTGTTTTGTTGGCTTTTTCACTTTAATGAGTACAGCAGGTTAATTTTCATTCTTGTCTAAATCCTGATGCAGGAGTTTAGGTACTAAGAGATGGGAAGCATCACGGCCATTTTAGAATGTATATTGATAGATCCTCATGCTGGCTGGTCATCTGGGGGCCAAAGTCAACGTGTCATTAATTCCTTGAATGAAATTCATGTCTGCATCTTGCGGTGTCAGATCGAAGTTGTTGGAAATCTAACAATGGTTACTCTTTTATAGATCCATGACCAAAGCCAGTTGGGCCCAAAGCAGGAATGAAGTGAATTGCAAGGATACAATTAAGTTTTCTTATTATTAGGTAAGTAGAAATTATGCAGATATGATAGAACACCCTCCCGACCATGGAATGAATATACAGTGATACCTCGGGATACGAACTTAATCCGTTCCGTGACTCTGGGCGTATCCC